CACTGTGCGTATTAAAGGAGGCTCATCTGCATATGCGTCTCCATCTCCTCCTTTCGTCCTCCATGTCTTTGTCCTTCCTGTCTTCCTTCACCTTTTATTCCTCTCCCTGCTCCTCCTCTTACTCATCCCTGCTCTCTTCCTCCTCCTCCTCTCTCCTCAGGTTACTCCCCCTCTGCCTGTCCTCCTCTTCCCCTGTGTCTCTTCCTCCTTTCCAACTTCCTCCTTCTTGCTTGAAGTTAAACCATTCTGCAGCGAGCTCACTTGCTTCTTCCCTTTTAATTTTGTAGTACTTGTTTTCTTTTGCTTTTTGTCTCCTCCCCTCCATTTATATTGGGATTCTACTTAGTCTCCCCCCTACTTTTATAACCTTGGTGCGTGACGTTCTTTCCCTCCCCATTCTGATTACTCTACACTTGGCCTTGACTTTCGTTTCCATAAATAACTGAGGCAAGAGGTGTTAAGAGCCTTGCTGAACACTGTGCGGTAGTTGTCGTCAGAGCCAAGCTAGAGCTAAGTTTTGGATTTCAGACTTTTCACTAGATTGAGTTGCCTCATGATGGCTGAGGGTAGAAATAGCCTCATATTTGAGTAAAAGTCGAGCAGGGAAGCAAGCAAGCAAACAATTACAACAGCAAACGAAACTTTCAAAAGAGGGAGAGACAGGAATACTCACTCACTGAACTAGAGAAACCTGAATATAGTGTTCTCTCTGCTCGGTAATTTAGTTCCAGGTGAATTACAAAAGAAGGCTTTGTGAATGTTTGCCTACTTTGGTTTGTTCCAAAACTGTTAAAAATGTATAACTCTTAACCTGCCCAACAGTATCATTTGGGACCTAAGCTCCTAGACCTAATATGAGGCATAATACATAGAGTCAGTAGTATCTGTACTGAGAAGTAGGAGAATCGCACTCGATATATTAATTTAATTTCTTTTGCAGAATTAAGGGTGTTTGTGTACAGATTCTGTATATGATATCAGCTAGTCAAGCCTTCGTTTTGTAGTCTTTTTCCCTAAACCATCACAAGTAAATAAGGAAACTATCAATATGTGATTAGGTAAATCAAATTGGAAGATAAAAACAACTGCTTTAATTCAAAACAGTCTCATCAAGTGTACCTTAGCAGTGAGTTTTACAAAGCCCAGGTCATTTCCTCTATGCGTTTTTCCATGACCACCATTATTCCTCCTTCAGCTTCAGTACTTGCTTCCTGCTCTGAGGCATTTGATTTGATTTGATTTGATTTCAAAGTATTACAGGGGTACACATGTTTTGGTTACATGGATTTTTTTGTAATGCATGAGTCAGGGCTATAAGTGTGCCCATCACCCAGATAGTGTTCACTGTACCCATAAGGTAGGTTTTCACTCATCCCCTGCACCCCTCCTTCCTACTTAGTTTCCATTGAGTTCTACTTCCCTCTCTGCACATGTGTTCATTGGTTAGTTCCAATTTAATAGTGAGTGCATACGGTGTTCGTTTTTTTATGCTTTAGATACTTCACTTAAGATAATGGTCTCCCGTTCCATCCAAATTGTTGCAAAAGGTATTAATTTATCATTTTTATGGCTGAGTAGTATTCCATGGTATACATATACCACATTTTCTTAATCTACTCATGAATTGATGGGCACTTGGGTTCATTTCACATCTTTGCAATTGTGAATTGTGCTATAATAAATATTCGAGTGCAGGTGTCTTTTTTATAAAATGACTTCTTTTCCTTTGGGTAAATACCCAGTAGTGGAGTTGCTGGATCGAATGGTGGGTCTACTTTCAGTTCTTCGAGGAATCTCCATACTGTTTTCCATAGACGTTGTACTAATTTGCAGTCTCACCAACAGTGTATAAGTCCTTTCTCCCTGCATCCATGCCAGCATCTATTGTTTTTGGACTTTTTAATAAAAGCCATTCTAATAAGGCTATATCTCATTGTGGTTTTAATTTGCATTTCCCTGATAATGAGTGACATTGAACATTTTTTCATGTGTTTATTGGCCATTTGTCTGTCTTCTTTTGAAAAGCTTTTGTTTGTGTTTTTTGCCCACTTTTTAATGGGGTTGTTTGTTTTTTTCTTGTTGATTTGCTTGAGTTCTTTGTAGATTCTGGTTATTAGCCCTTTATTGGATATATAGCTTGTGAATATTTTCTCTCATTTGCTCCTGTCTGTTCTCTCTGTTCATTGTTTCCTTGGCTGTGCAGAAGCTTTTTAATTTAATCAAGTCCCATTTATTTATTTTTGTTGCCGTGATTGCCACTGGGGTCTTTTTCATAAATTCTTTGCTAGACTGATATCTAGAAGAGTTTTTCCCTACATTTTCTTCTAGAATTCTTATGGTTTCATGCCTTACATTTCAGTCTTTTATCCATCCATCACCAGTATATTTTTGTGAATGGTCAGAAAGAGAGGTCCTGTTTCATTTTTCAGCATGTGGCTATCCAGTTCTCCCAGCACCATTTATTGAATAGGAATTCTGTTCCCTAGTGTATATTGTTGTCTGCTTTGTCAAAGATCAATTGGCTGTATGTGGATGGTTTTATATCTGGGTTCTCTGTTCTGCTCCATTGGTCTATGTCTTTATTTTTGTGCCAATACCGTACTGTTTTCGTTACTATAGCCTTGTAGTATAGTTTGAAATCTGGTAATGTGATGCCTCCAGCTTTGTTGTTTTTGCTTAAGATTGTTTGTCTATTCAGGCTCATTTCTGGTTCCAAATGAAGCGTAGAATTAATTTTTCTAGATCTGTGAAATATGATGTTGGTATTTTGATGGGGATTGCATTGAATCTGTCAATCACTTTGGGTAGTATGGACCTTTTAACAATGTTGATTCTACCAATCCATGAGCGTGATATGTTTTTTCATTTGTGTCATCTGTGATTTCTTTTCTCAGTGTGTCATAGTTCTCTTTGTAGAGGTCTTTCACTTACTTGGTTAAGTAATTCCTAGGTATTTTATTTTTCTTGTAGCTATTGTGAATGGTATTGAGTCTTTGATTTGACTCTCAGCTTGACTGTTACTGGTGTATAGGAATGCTACTGGTTTTTTGTAACCTGAGACTTTATTTCTCAATTCCAGGAATCTCTTGGTGGAGTCTTAGGGGTTTTCTAGATGTAAGATCATATTGTCAGTGTTCTGGGACATTTTTTACCCAAGCCACCCATTTGACATGTACTAAATTATGACTTTTATTATGTTGTACATTTAAGATACGTCTATAAAGTAAAAAGACCACATTTTAAGATAAAATGGAATTTTTTTTATGCAGATGAGATTTGGTTCTTAAAAAAAGGAGATTATATACTTAATTGCAACTTTGCTTAAAATATTTAAAAGCGTTTTTTTGAGAAGGGGAGTCTTCCTTGTGAATTGCCTTCAGATCCTATTGCAAATAAGAATCCCCCTCCCCTCTAAGTTTAGAGTAATCAAACACTCTTACTGAAAAAAGCCCACTTATTTCCTTTCCATCTCTGGGAAGTTCACCAACATTTTGTGCTTTAATATCCTCAACTATAAAATGATGATGATAATGGTACTTCTCTCATAGAATTATTATGAATGAATTAAATATCTGAAATAGAGCAGTGCCTAGAACATTATAAATACCATATGCCTTTGCTATTACTATTTCTGCTATAACTACATCAACAATGGTGGTGACAGTGACTGCTACTAACAAATGACTTTTCGCTGTGCCTACAAACAGGAAACATGTCCCAAAGATGCAGATTTGCCACTAATGGGAACAGTGAAAAGATGTATTGGAAGATCTAAAGTCAGTTCTAAAACTTTGTTGGTCCCCACAGTGTTTTGAGAAATGAAGTGATATTGGAGTAAATGTAAAAAACTGTTAGACGATTGCTCCGAAAGAAGCCCCTCTTCATTGAATGTATATTACATGTCTTTTGTAAAAAGTCACCCATATACTTTACATCTTGGTTCTCCAAAATACACCTCTTGAAGATACAAGCTGTTTTCCACTTCCATGTATTTTCCATAATATTCAGCACAGTGTTTTAAAAATTACAGATGTTCAATAAATACGTCGATTAGCTGCTTAGGTTGAGGTGAGAGGAGGAAAATTAGGAATAAAATGTTCTCCAGTTAATTGCAAATTGCTTTCCTACTTGAAAATGAATTTTCATTTCATTATCTTGTTCTACAACTTCTGGAAAGTGCTTTAGTTTGCATTTGTCATTTGATGTTATACAAGTTTGTGAATTTTGTGGAAATCTACATTCCTTCAAAGGGTCTATCATAGGATTTTCCATTTTTATTGTAGTTTCAAAATGGAAAGAAGTGTTAGTGTCAAGGCAAGCCTGCTCCAGTTCCATTTCATGAGATTTGTTAAAATAATTCAAATTGAGAGCTGGTAGAGACCATGCTGTAACAGCATAAACACCCACCACGGTACCTGAAGCAGAATGGAAATCAATAAGCTGTTGAGAATAAATGGATCATTTGGTGCATTCTCCTCATTTCGCAGTTGAAGAAGCCAATGTGATAACTTGCCTCCACTCATGCAGTGGCACAGGAGGGAGGGGTTAGGATAAATGTTCCCGATGCCATCGCGCTTTCATTGTGGACTTCATACTTAAATTGTAACATGGAAAAGACTATGCATTTAGTCTTTGGATGACTTTCTTTTTTTTAAAGTATATATATAAGTCAAATTTTTAGACTACTATCAATTACCTTTTAGGAAGGCTGTAGTAAGAAGCTGTTCATACAAATCAAAAGGATTGTTTTAAGGGGAAACTAAAGTGAAATGTTTGTAAGTGGCTTATTCAAGGTGTGCCAATGGCTTAATTCCCTTTCTGTCTACCATAAGTTTTCTTTGCTCTATTGTATTATTAGGGGTTCCTATCTCCTATGAAACGCTTCCTGTTGGAATAATTTGTCTCTCCCAAGACATGACCCATCTCCTGCTCTTCTGCATTTCTTAGACTTTCAAGAAATGTCGATAATCCTGCTGATTGATTTTTCTGCTATTTTACAGGATGGGAAAAGTGAGTCAAGCTCATGTACCTGTTTGAAGGGGCCCAAACTGTCAGATATAGGGACAATTGCCTGGATGATAACGCTCAGTGATGCCCTCCACAATTTCATCGACGGCCTGGCCATTGGGGCTTCCTGCACCTTGTCTCTCCTCCAGGGACTCAGCACTTCCATAGCAATCCTGTGTGAGGAGTTTCCTCACGAGCTAGGTGAGGGGCTTTGCTTCTCTTGTAAAGTCAGGTTACCGCTCGGTCTCAGCAGAATGACACATTTCAGGGGACATGCCCTTGAAATCCTGCTGGTACACCCAAATGAAGAGCCCCTGTTGGACATTGATGATTATCTTTGGTCTCATCCAAAAATTAAAATGAACATCTATTCACCTGATATTTTCTTCTTCTAGGGGACTTTGTGATTCTACTCAGTGCAGGGATGAGCACCCGGCAAGCCTTGTTATTCAACTTCCTTTCTGCGTGTTCCTGCTATGTCGGGCTGGCTTTTGGCATTTTGGTGGGCAACAATTTTGCTCCAAATATTATATTTGCACTTGCTGGAGGCATGTTCCTTTATATTTCTCTGGCAGATATGGTAAGAAATTTTAAAATTTTATTTTGTTTTTATTTAAAATTTAGAAATGAGCATCTGTGTTCTGAGTTGAATAAGGGCGGCCTTCTGCTTTCCAATGTGGAAGGCCTTTCTGTTGTAATTTAAAACATTCTTGTTTCAAGAGATCATTTTTCTCGAGTAGTATACACCAATAATAATCTGAATGTGATTCTCATTGATTCTTTAATCTATGACCTTATTGACAGAGGGTGGGACGATTTGTTTTCGCTAAAGTAGAGATATTTTTCTACTTGTTTATTTTTTTTTAACTTAAAAAAATATTTAAATTTTTTGTAGACATGAGGTCTTGCTATGTTGCCTAGGCTGGTCTGAATTCCTGGGCTCAAGCCATCCTCCTGCCTCAGCCTCCCAAAGTGCTGGGATTACAGGCGTGAGCCACCACACCCAGTCCCTAGGTTTCCTTTTGCCTTGTGGTCGGTAAACCTTGCCTTTTATTATAATATGTTGCTGTAGGACCTTTCCCCCGCTTTTGTGGAGATGTCACATTTGGAAGAGGAATAACTTGTTAGGCTTGTTAGGGTAAATAGCGTTTTGTAATTTCAGAACCCTAAACAGCAACAGCCTTTTGGGTTAAACTAAAGCTGGTACACTAAAACTGACAAAATTATAATTTGACAATATTTGTTTGGGTCGGTATGTACTTATATCTATATGTATGTCTATGTGGTGTCTATGTCTTTATTTATATCTATACGTGTACATATGTGTGCACTCGTGCGTGTGCATGTATGCGCGTGTGTGAGAGAACGTACTGTGCTTTTTCAAATGAATCATAGACAGTGTTCTAGAAAATGAGAATGTGATGGTGTATGGAAATCAAGGAATATTTATTTTGCATTTGGAACTGAATATTACATACATAATTAAATAATTTGATTTCCTTCATCTGTCTTCTTAGCTCCAAATTATAATTGCCTAGCTCTGTTTACTGTTCTGTGTAGACTCGTACAAGAGTGAGGGTTTCATCTCCTAGAACCACCACATTTATGTTTTTCTTCACAGAATTAATGTCTCACACAATCTTTAGGTGGTCACTTCTCCTTTGTCTGATGTAGGAACAGAGTCTATTAGAGTTGTTTAGTTTAAAGAAATAATACTAATAAGTGAAGCTGTATATACTTAAGCAGTTTTGCTGTTTTCAGAATGGTTTACAGTTTTTGCCCATTTTATCCTGCAACAGTTCTCTGACGTTAGACACACAGGTGACTGTGGATTCTGGACGCCTCTCGGAGGCTTTGGGGCAGGGTGCCCCAGCGTGCATATATACACACATATGTCATCATTCTGGAATGTTCTGAAAATCTGGCATTTACTGCTCTCTCTATGTCACCTTTTCAGGTGAAATCATCTGCTGAAAAAGGGTAGATTTGAAGTAGAATACTTAGGGTTTTAATTGCTTTCACTGTAATGAGCCTCCTGTACTCTCCAATCCCAGAATAGTGTATAATTTAAGAACCTTCTGATTTCATGAGGGTAGAGCAAGCAGAAGGAAACAAATTGAAGAAATCAGGAACTAAATACTTATTTCTAAAAATTTCTTTAGCCAGCTACTACTGATACATTTGCTGTACCAGGCCTAGAAATCTGTGTGGTCTGGGGCCCCCGGCGTGAAGAAACTAGGCACAGTTCTTGCATTCATGGAGCTTTCCGTCTAGAAAGGGGACCGGAAATTGAAAAAACAAGAAACCACACGGATGACTAAACAATGACAAATAATAAAAAATGCTGTGAAATAAAAGGAAAAGCGGTATATATGATATGAGATGATGAGGAGTCTAGATAAATAGGAGGGGCTAAGCTAAGGGAAGTATTTTAGGAAGGTCTGATTTAAGGTGAAACCTGAAGGATTTAGTCCACTGAAAAATTGGAGTGAGAGGACTTCAGGCAGAGGTTGTGGCAGGTGTGAACAGGTGGGGAAGGAAAGGGGCTGGATGCATTTAAGGTCCTGAAAGAATGGTGTGGACAGAGGACAGACAGCAAGGAATTGAGAGAGAGAGAGAGAGAGAGAGAATACATAAAATGAGGTAAATCTCATCCCACTGGTTCAGCTGGAGACGAGCACTATTTCAGTACTTTTTACTCTTGTGGGCGGCTGAAAGGACTAGATATTCCTATTAAGCTGCCTATACTGAAACCCTTAAACACCCAAAATAAATGGTCATACCTCCCCTCCCGGAAATCTATCACACATCATCACGAGGTATTATGAAGATAAGACCTTGTTTTGTTGCACTTGGCTTTATCATGCTTTGTGGACAGTGTGTTTTTTACAAACTGAAGGTTTGTGGCTACTCTGTGACAAGCACGTCTGTCCCACAGCCTGTGCTCCCTTCCTGTCTCCGTGTCACGTTTTGGTAATTCTTGCAATATTTCAAATCTTTTCATTATTGTTATTATATCTGCTATGGTGCTCTGCGATCAGTGATTTCGATGTTACTATTGGTAAGTGTTCTGGGGCACCATGAACTGCACCCACGTAGTACGACAGACTTAAACCAGTGAATGTTGTGTGTTCTGACCGCTCCACCGGCCAGCTGTTCCCTTGTCTCCCTCCCTGTTCTCTGAGACACAATAGTGTTGAAATTAGGCAAATTAATAACCCTCCAGTGGCCTCCAGCTGTTCAAGTGAAAGGGAGAGTCACACATCTCTCACTTTAAATCAAAAGCCAGAAATGACTAAACTTATTGAGGAAGGTACCTTAAAAGCCAAAACAGGCCGAAAGCTAGGCCTCTTGTGCCAAATAGTTAGCCAAGTGGTGAATGCAAAGGAAAAATTCTCGAAGGGAATTAAAAGCGCCATTCCAGGGAACACACAAATGATAAGAAAGTGAACCAGCCTTACTGCTGATGTGGAGAAAGTCTCAGTGGTCTGGACAGAAGGTGAAACCAGCCACAGCATTCCGTTAAGCCAAGGCTAAGTCAGACCAACTCTCTTCAATTCTCTGAAGGCCGAGATAGGCAAGGACGCTGCGGAAGAAAACTTGGGAGCTGGCAGAGGTCGGTTTATAAAGTTTAAGGAGAGAAGCCGTCTCCATAACAGAAAGTGCAAGATGAAGCGGCAAGTGCTGATGGAGAAGCTGCAGCAAGCTATTCAGAACATCTAGCTGAGATCACTGATGAAGGTGGCTACACCGAACAACAGATTTTCAGTGTAGGTGAAACAGACTTCAGTTAGAAGAAGATGCCTTTAATAGCTAAAGAGGAGAAGTCAATGCCTGGCTTTAAATCTTCAAAAGACAGGCTGCCTCTCTTGTGAAGGGCAAATGCAGCTGGTGAGTTTAAGTTGAAGCCAGTGCTCACTTACTGTTCCAAAAATCTTAGGATCCTTAAGGCTGAATCTACTCTGCCTGTGCTCTAGAAATGGAAGAACAAAGCCTGGATGACAGCACATCTGTTCACAGCACGGTTTACTGAGTACTTTAAGCCCACTATTGAGACTTACCGCTCAGAACACAAGGATGCCTTTCAAAATATTACTGCTATTGACAATGCGCCTGGTGACCCAGTAGCCTGATGGAGATGTACGAAGAGATCAGTGTTGTTTTTGTGCCTGCTAACACTGCATCCATCCTGCAGCCCGTGGATCAAGAAGTATTTTGACTTTCAGGAATTATTCTTTAAGAAATACATTACACAACGCTGTAGCTGCCATGGAGAGTGATTCCTCTGAAGAATCTGAGCACAGTAAGTGGAAAACCTTCCGGAAAGGATTCACCTTCTAGATGCCATTTGAGGAGGTCAAAGTATCCACATTAGCAGGAGTTTGGAATAAGTTGATTCCAACCTCCACGTTTGACTCTGCGGGGTTCGAGACGTCAGTGGAGGAAGTAACGGCAGCTGTGGTGGAAACAGCAAGAGAACTAGAATGAGGAGTGGAGCCCGAAGATGGGACTGAACTGCTGCGATCTCACGATCAAACTTCAATGATGCGGAGTCGCTTCTTACGGCTGAGGAAAGAAAGTGATTTCTCGAGATGGAATCTAGTCCTGGCGAAGATGCTGCGAACATTGTTGAAATGACAGTAAAGGGTTTAGAATATTTCATAAACTTAGTCGATAAAGCAGCCGCAGGGTTTGAGAGGATTGACTGCAATTTGGAGAGAAGTTAAAACACTATCAAACAGCTATAGAGAAATATTTCATGAAAAGAAGAGTCAATTGGTGTGGCAAACTTTGTTGCTGTCTTATTTTAGGAAATTGCCACAGCCTCTTTAATCTCCAGCACCTACACCTCCATCGGTCAGCGCCATCGACATCCAGGCAAGAGCCTCCACCAGCAAGATTATGACTCGCTGAAGTCTCAGATGATTGTTAGCCTTTTTTTAGCAATAAAGCCTTTTTAAATCAATGTACGTACGTTACTTTTTTAGGCATAATTCTATGTATCAATAGACTACAGTATAGTATAAACATATCTTTTATGTATGTTGGGAAACCAGAAATACTGGTGTGATTCGCTTTATTGCAATATCCACTTTATTGCAGCGGTCTGGAACCAAACCTGCAGTATCTCTGATGTATCCTGCCAATGACTGTTTTGTGTTTTACCACAAGATGGCAACAGGTATCTAACAATATGATCTGTCTTCTAGTTTCCAGAGATGAACGATATGCTGAGAGCAAAGATAACCGGAAGGAAAACTGATTTCACATTCTTCATGATTCAGAATGCTGGAATGTTGACTGGGTTCACGGCCATTCTTCTCATTACCTTATACGCAGGAGAAATCGACCTGGAGTAGAAGGAAACGGAAGATGGTGTTAATAAAGGCACGCAATAAAAACATCTCCAGAGATTTCAAGCTGATCTTGTTTAGTTAAAAGATAATTTCGTTCTCAACCATAGGTCAAGAAAACTAATTATTGGTTTAAGTCTGCGAAATAGGCCATTATTTGTTGTTAAAATGCTTCAGAAGGTTTTTGGTGTCAGTCTGAAATTCCTAGGAGTCTTTGGTAAATACCCATTTTTCAGTGTTTCACCCGTATTTAATATCATGATAGAAAAGACATGCTTTCCGTAATCACTTAGACACCTAGGCCCAGAAGAACATACAAGATACATTGTGAAAGCCGTTAAAACTCTAGGGTAGGATCAAAGGTTCAAGTGGTTCCAGAGTGGTTTTCTTTCAAATAATTTGTTTCAGAGCTTTCTAGAACAAGTATATCAAAACACGGAAGAAAATCAAAACATATACAACACTAATATAAAGGATTCCAAGGCTTTAAGGAGCTCAGGAGAGGAAGATTTCTCACATCTTTTTGTTCTGTTTTATATTTCAATTAAGGAACTTGCAGGATTGTTTTGAACGCCACTCTAAAGTGATATGAATTGGGAAATTAAGAGAATTTTGTGAGCCTTACTAATTTCAGGCTTAGAGGCTTCTTTCTACATGTAAACTCCACCAGACTCCGTGAAAAGAACAGTATGTAAAGCTGGTGACAACTCGGTTTCAGTGCACCATGTGTTTGCTTTGTGAAGGTGAAGAATATGTTGGTTTGGAGAAAGAAATTGAATGTAATTTTAAGCAATTTACTTTTGAAGATGAACATAATTATTTAGCAGAGAATATTTTAATAAATGAGAAACAACAGCTGGACTGCTGTATGTCAAGGACTGATTAACTAGAAAACATATGTTCCTTATGTGTGATTGAGAGTCATTCAGAAAAGACTTCTTTTGTATTCAGTCTACATTTTTCCATATGGTATATCTTGGCAAAAATTAGGACACCATGGTTATTTTTCTACCTTTTATAAAAGATAGAACCTGTTTACTCATTTAGCACATACAGAAATTTGGTCTAAAATTGAACATCCTAACCCCACTTCACACTCCCCAGTCTCTTAAGGAAAGATGATTTGACAGTGAGGAAAATGATTGACAAAAGCCAACCGTGATCTCAGGAATTACATTTTCCCACAGATGGAAGAATGTTTTCACATAGCAGTAGTACGGATTTGATGAATATTTAACACGTATGTTAATGTATATTTCACTTTATGACTGACAATTAAAAAATTATTGTTTGACCAAATAGTAAACACCTTTGAAACCACGTATCGTGTCATTCGTTATTCATTTTAGAAGTTTCTTTTTTGAGTGACTGCCACGTGCCTGGTATCATGGGGGAGAGCCACAAACAGGAACCCGGCGACGTGCGCAGACTGTGAACCAGACTCCGCCATGGTGTGTGTCCATAGTCGCTGCTCAGCACAGCCGACGTGAGAGTCTATCTGCTGTCGTGACAGTCCCTGCGCGGTGTTATTATGATCGTCTGTAGATGCTTAATAAGGCCCTACTGAATTGGGTATTCCTGAGTTACCACATCTAAAGGAGTTTCTTTAGGAGCTTAAATTTTTTAAAAAAGTGAACTAGTTGAGAAGAACCAAAATGGCGCCATGGGTTCACCAGATGTTAGTGTAGGGTATCGGCAGAGCTGATCCCTGGTGGCCCACGCCGGGAACGTTAACTCCAGGCTGTCACCCGTGCTCTGGTTGGCATTAGGTCTCACTTTGGTTTTTATCCAGAGGCCACCATGATTTCCAGACTCCTTCTGTGTTTATTTAAGGTCCATTACAGTACAAGAGGTTCTTAACCCTATACTAAACAAGTTCTCTAACAGTGATGGTCCTATAGCTGCTTTCTCGATGACACTTTGCCCTCCACACGCCTGTGGGGCTTGTTTTTCCCTTGGCTGCTTTTCTGTGCTAGCCATGCACGAAGCCTTCGCTTGTGGCCATTTAGCGTCCCATAGTGGAGGCCACCCACTTCTACGTGGTTCCACAGCCAGTGACCTTCCTGGAAAGGTGTCAGCAAGCTAAGGCAGCCAGGGAAGCTGAGAACTCCGAACACTTGTCCCGTTAATTCTCAGACACCCATTTTCCCCTGTAAGTCAGGTGGGGCCATTGGAGAAGTAGAATGCGTCACCGCCGGGAGCCCCTCTGAAGAATCCCAAAAGTGCCAACAAGAGAGCGTTCAGCGTTAAGTACCCGTCAGAGAATGTGAGCCCATATTTTTACAGTATCTGTGAAGTGGGAACTTTTTTATCCCTTCTTTTCTCTCCTCTGTCTAAGCATGTAAGTCTGGAAGGGCCAAAAGCCAGTCAGCAAACGGGGATTGGAGGTAAAAGAGGATTCCTTTTCTGAAGTCTTACCTCTGAATGCAGATTAAAGTACTGACTGAGGGATGGGATTGGGCACTTTGGGTAATTGACTTGAGACTATGGCTGTGACTTAAAGTGACTATAGGATTTCATATTCCCCTAGAATCACGTGTCAGAACACTCAGGGTGCCACCAGGTTTCATCCAGGGGCAAGAGAGGGGGTATCCAGTCCCCCTTCCCCAAGCAAGTTTAAAAGGACAGGGAGGAATAACATCAAAGTTGTTTTTCAGTTCACCCTGTGCAAGCCGCACGTTAGTGTACTGATAACGTATGCACTTTAAAAATTAGTGCATACGACAACCCTGTGAAACGGGCTCTGTTTTTATTACCAGGCCAGGATGGAGCTGAGAAGTCGCAGGGGGACTGCGCGGGCCGGGGCAGAGCGCGACCAAAACCTGTCACCCACACGCGACAGCGGGAGAGCCACTTCCTCCCGCAGCCTGGCTCCCAGCCCTCTGCGGCAGGCCCCACGCGCGGTGCACGGCAAGGGACGAGAGCTTGCAGGAATTCTGTCCCTGCCTCAGAGCACGCATCGAAGGGGGAGTCTGGAGCCCGGAGGCAGTGAATTAGTAAGTGGCACAGGAAGTGTGATCAAAATGACATCACGCTATGCTGATGGGATTTTGTGCATCTGCTACGGTGAGGACATAAACTTTTCAACCGTACAGAATGGAGATCTGCTTTCCACCCTTCTGTATCCTGCTTTTTGCCCCAAAAGGCTGCCCGGCATGCATGGACATCAGTGGGAATACCAGATGGGGAACCGCAACGCGAGATTGCAGGAAGAGAGGAGAGTGAGGACAGGGTATCGGTTTCCGTGACCGTCTTCCTGCTGGTGTCCCTGGGCTGCCTGTGTCGCTCAAGACGGCCTTCTCCACACGCTCTGCCATGAAGGCCCAGCTGGGTTTTCTTATTTTCAATCTGTCATCATCTGGTGCTTTTATAAATGCAATGCAAAGGAATTACTAGAAAAATGAAACAAAATTAAAAATACAGGGGCCGGGCCCGGTGGCTCACGCCTGTAATCCTAGCTCTCTGGGAGGCCGAGGCGGGCGGATTGTTTGAGCTCAGGAGTTCGAGACCAGGCTG